TTTTATTCTATAAGATGTCTAACATGAGCAGTTGTTAATAATTCACAAAGCAAGAGAAAAAAAATCTGCATCATCATATTATTACCTTCATTGGTTTGGCATGAGTATTTCAGGTCAAGAGTGAAGAAAACTAGTATAGAAGAGCAGACAATCTAAACTTTGCCAGATGTCAAAAGTCCAACTCATTAGTTAATGAGTGAGCACAGGGAGTAAGTTAGTCGGAAAGAGGCAGGAAGGGTTAGTGAAGGTCCTTCTTCAATAATTTAATATACATTTACTGACTATACCTTAATTGTCAACAGGATGACTAACAATAATCTTGGGAATCCAGTTACCAGGTGAATTTACAGGATGACTGTATTCAACATTAGGAGAAATAGAAGCTGCAATAAAAAAACAGCTAGAGGGGCCGGCCCGTGGCTCACTCGGTAGAGTGCGGTGCTGATGACACCAAGGCCACGGGTTCGGATCCTATGTAGGGATGGCCGGTTTGCTCACTGGCTGAGCGTGGTGCTGACAACACCAAGCCAAGGGTTGAGATCCCCTTACCGGTCATCTTTTTAAAAAAAAAAGAAAAAAAAACAGCTAGAAACAGAACAAGGGATAAAGTCCCTAACAGTGGCCGCCTTTTTGTCTCTTTAGTGCAAATGCCACAGATGTTCTTGAAGAGAAATGGGAAATGTTTACTGTGTATTTAATAAGAATTAATGTTTTCCTTTTGGAAAAGTACAATATCATCTAAATGTCCATAGATCGTGTTAATTCTTTCCTTATTCTAGTCATGGAAACGTTAAAGCAGAATCATTAGGCCCAAGGAAATTAAGTCTAAAATCAATCCTTTCAAAATGGTAATGTATAGCAGTTTTCACAATTAAAGGAAGTTACCAAATTTGACACTTCTGATTCCTACTCTCCATCCTCATCTTCTTTTTTTGTTTGTTTGTTTGTTTTGGTGGCTGGCCGGTACAAGGATCTGAACCCTTGACCTTGCTGTTGTCAGCACTATGCTCTAACCAGGTAAGCTAAATGGCCAGCCTCCATCCTCACCTTCTGAAAACAGATGTGGACAGGCATTTTGTGTTTGCATTTTAAATAACGTACAAGGTTGGACTATATAGAACTGCAAAATTATAAGGCAATTAATTTTTTTAAAACCTGCTGTTTTAAATATACATATCTCAGCTGTAATTTTCAGTCAGAAAAAAAAAATGTCCATATATACACACACACACCTTAAAACTGACTAGGAACAAATAGAAAAGGATTTTATTTAGACAATTTCTGTACTTTGATGCCAGATTCTTCATCCCAGCAATATCCTGAGAAACTGGATCGCTCTCTCCCATACAACATAATGGGCCCTTAAGTCCTACATACTTGAGAAATCGAACCACATCTAGACATCCTCCACCATTCTATTAGCCAGGAGATCTCAGGCTTATCTACCTGCAGAAGCCATGCAAAACATGTTAGGTCATGTTCTAGTTAATCCAAAGAACCATTATTACAACCTCCTCTTTTCCTCCGAGTATTCCAAAGACCCCATTATCAGCATTACAAAATAGAAAACTGTTTAGTATAAAATAGAAAGTATAATATTCTGAGTCTGTTCACCTAAACTCTGTTCCTGGTTCTGATGTGAGTTCACTCTTTAAATTTCAGTTTCTCCATATATAAAATGAGTATCACAGGTTATCAGTCTTCCAAGGAAGTTCAATAATTAGAGAAAATATCTACAAAATTACTTAACTCTTTGATAAAAAAAGATATATAATGTACATAATATATATATATATACATATCTATTAATCACATAACAAATGTTGTCTTACATCTCAGTGGAGAGGAAGTGAGTTTTTCGTCTAGAACGCACAGTTGTGCAAATTAACTGGTATCTAATAAACGTTTGCTTTAATGAGCAGACTTCACACATCCTTACATTAGACAAATAGAATATACTGTGCTATTTCTCTTTTAAAATAGTTTGGTTCAAATTAAGGCCTTTATGAAAATTCAGTGTAAAATTGAGTAAAAGAATAAAATTCAAAACAAACATAGCAACCATATAAATCACATTTATACACTATGTTATTACAATAAGATTTAATTTGGCACTTACCATTTCAAGGTACCAAACACTTTAATTAACATCCCTACATTGTGAAATAGCCCACACTTCAGCTGATGAAATGAAGTGGCTTTCAGTACATTTAGAAGCTAAGTCAAGTTGCTAAGGGAATAGCAGTGAATGACACTACTGTCCCCCTCAACAGTTTACCACAGAGTTAGGAAAACTTTGAAGACTGCCTATCCAATTCATTTCTATTTGTTCATATATATTTTGATACAATGGGAAAGAAGGAGAATTAAATTCTCTTGTCCTGGAACCGGCCAGCCACCAATAAATAAATAAATAAATACATAAATAAATTCTCTTGGAATTAAGTTTTGTATTGTCAAGGCAAACAAACTTCAAATGTGAACTCTCTTTCAACTACTCGATTAAGGTTAAAGTACAAAAATTTCCAAGATGCTAAAGAAAAAATTTAAGATAGAAGAGAACAATGACAATATAAACTGAGTTTTGCTTCATTTTTAAAGGAAAATGAATATGTTTCCCTTTGGACTAATTTAATTTGGCATATGACGGCATCAGTTGTAGAACTCAAACTAAAGTATAAATAAAACAAAAAACTATGAACAGATGCCCTTACAGGCCAGCCGCAAAAACAAACAATGAACAGAAAGGTTATCAATAGAAAGAGTGTGAAATATGTGGTACACAGATCACTGAGAATATTTTGAGAATATTTAAAAAATACTTTAAGGGCCGGCCCGTGGCTCACTCGGGAGAGTGTGGTGCTGACAACACCAAGGCCGTGGGTTCAGATTCCACAGAGGGATGGCCAGTTAGCTCATTGGGTGAGCGTGGTGCTGACAACACCAAATCAAGGGTTAAGATCCCCTTACCAGTCATCTTTAAAAAAAAAAATACTTTAAGAGGATTTAAGTATAACAGATATAAGCATTTACAAGAGTACTTCAAAAAGTTCATGGAAGGATTCATATTACCTTTTAATTCTATTTTTCCTTGAATTTTTTGAAGCATCCTTGTAATGTGATACTCAAAGATAAGTCACCAGCATGAGACACCAACGTCTGAATTCTATTTCTTTTTTTTTTTTTGAATTCTATTTCTGTTACTTATTCCTTACATGGAACTTTCTCTTCAAATTAAGAGCCCCAAGTCTTTCGTATTTTTTTTAATACCTACATTTTCCTTGAACTCTCCTCTTATCTCACCTCCCAACTCCCATCACCCAGTTTTAACTAAAATTTCCTTGCACATTCTGGCACTTTCTTAAATACAAAAATTAAAATAATCTACCCTAAAATATATTCTATTCTAAGACATCATTTGATCTACATAAGTAACCTTCAGAGGACCCTCCTGCAACACAAAACTGCAATAAAACGGGGCTTCTCTTAGAAGGGATGATGGCACCCCTCTTCATCTTCCCTAAGTGATCCTTGGATGCTCCTAAGAGGTGAAGAATGGAGCAGTTAACAAAAGACTTCCTTCCACAAATACGTAGTATTCCTAAATGTCTCTTTCCTTGAACTCTCTTAACCTCCTCTCTGTCCTTAACACTCCAAAACCATGAATCCCTATGTTCTACTTCTCACTCCCAGGCCCCACAAAGGAACAGGTTTCAGCAAGACAAATTATACAACAGTTTCTGGAGTTGGTAGTGGAGAGACACTACGAATGAACAGCAGATTGCTTACGTTTTCACTAATGGACAATGAAAGTGAGTACCTAATTGAGACGTGGTGGAAAAGCTGATTTCTCTGGGAGAGGAAAAAGCAAGATCTCAGCATACTAAAGGTAAAGATAAAAAGAGGGATTTTTAAAGTGTTTTAAGACTCCTTCTAACTTATCATTTTCCAAAAAACAATTTTTTCATTAGCTATTACCATAGGTTTAGAACGACCTACTTTAATCTTTTGAATCTCACCGTTTTCATCTGTAAAATGCTGACAATAGTACCTTCAGCCCACAGGGTTACTGTGAGGATTGAATACAGTAACACATGCAAAGTCTGCCACGTAGAAAAAAACTAAAGAAAGTTAGCTTAAAGGAAACGTTAGCTTAAAAGAAACGTGAAGGGTATAGTATTCTTGTTTTCAATCAAAAACAAATTTTTGTAAAGACTGTAAAATGATATGTATAAGTTTATGCAATGCATTCATTTAACATTTCAACTCAGAAACTTAGAGGCTACCTTGGAATGCTGATTTAATTAAAATAGAAGCAACCAGGGGCAAAAGTTTTATACTAAAACATAATTTAATTGAAAAATATTCAGGAGTCATTATATTGATAAAATGACTGTCATAAAACTTTAAAAAATAATACAAGTTCTGCTGTAATTACATGCAGCGATTCCTTTCACACTACAGTACTCTGCTTTTATTAAAAGCCTATAACAAGGGCCGGCCTGTGGCTCACTCGGGAGAGTGCGGTGCTCATAACACCAAGGCCACGGGTTCGGATCCTTAAAAAAAAAAAAAAAAAAAAAAAAGCCTATAACAAGGCACAGCTTCTTCGACATCAAAACCTTTCGGAAACCTGGCTCAAAGGAAGTCACACACTGTTTACAGTGCCGGAAAGGATCTGTGTGGTCACTCTAGGACAACTGTCACTGTCACTAGCACGTCTGGATGTCTCATAGGGACTTGGGTTACGCAGAAGTGTGGGGGAAGGCTAGTATCTGAAACAAAGTCGATAGCTAGGGCGCCCTGCAAGGGGAGTGGTTTAACTGAGAATCGTATTAGATGAGTGTCTCACTTGCGGGGAAGCAGTCTCCCGGGGCAGATCCATTCCGGGGGTGTTTCGCCCTCTCCCGCAAGAAAGAGACGCAGGCGTTGCCCTCGCTCGGCGACCCCACCGCTTTCTTCCCGGCGCCGCTGCCCGCTCCTCCCGGCCCCCCAGTTACCTTTCTCGTCCTCATCGATGCGCAGGGCAATGGAGATGTACTCGAAGGCCTGTTTGTGGAAGGCTCGGACGCGCTCGGCCTCGCCGCCGGGCACCGGCGCCGGGGGCGAGGCTGAGGCCGACGCCGGGGCATCCTGGGAGCTCCTCTTGGCGGCCATTAGGGAGCGGGAGAAGCGCTGGCAGAGCCACACGAAGAGGAGCCCCAGGTGGAAGGCGACCAAACGCAGCAGCGCGAAGCCGACGAACAGCGGGTACGAGAAGTAGTACAGGTTTCGCTTATGCGGCGACTTGGGCGGAGGGGCCGGCCCGGCGGCGGGCGGGGCGGGCGCCACGCAGGGGGGCGGAGGCCTGGGAGGCACCGGGCTGCTGGGGCCGCTGGAGCCTTTCTTCTTCCCTCGTCCACCCGGAGAATTCATTCACAGCTCCCACGACCGCCGCCGCCATAACCCGCCTCCCGCAGACCGACGGCGACCAAGCGACGGCGGCGGCCACTGCGACGGCGAGGGCCACAGACCCCCGCACGCCCGCTGGCCCCAGGACCTCCGCACCTCTGCGACCCGCCCTTCGGCCCCGCCCTTTTCTTCTTCCTCGGCCACGAGCACAACCCCTTCTCCCCCTCCTCCTCCTGCGGTTGGTGGCTCCCGCCCCTTCCTCCCTCTGTCCTCTCAGCCGCCTGGTAGCTCAAAGCGGCGTCCGCACACGCGCACGTCCTCCATGTAGTTCCTCGGCGCGCGCGCGCGCACGCCGCCGTCTTTGTTGACCCAGGCTCCTATGCGCGTGTGCGGCTCCCCCCACTCCGCCCTTCCCTGCGGAACTACAGTCCCCAAAGTGCAGTTCGGCTCACGTCGGCCTCTGAGCCCGTCTTTTCGCCGACTTAACTGGCCCTGGGAGCTCCTGGTAGGAAACCGTGGTTATCAATCCCGTAATGGGGAACAGCGGCTTGAGATTGCCCTGGCTAGTTCACAGGGCAGCTACTTCGTAGTGTCATCGCTTTCTTATATTTCTTTCATCATGCTATACCAGTTGTCCCAAGTCTTCTGCAAAGGGTGACTGATCCGAGTTCCATTTCAGAAGCAATGTGCATAAATCTGGGAATTATTGTTTGAGAGGAAAGCAGTTGTAGAGACAAACTTTAGGTCACAGCAAACAAAAAAATTAGCTAAATGTAATGAGGTCAACGAATCCAGAGGTTTAACTAAACTAGTATGTATTTAGATTTCTGATCTGTTGAATTGCTTCATTTGAATGAGGGAATTCTTAGATTTTGCACAGTATCTATTGAATGGCTTAAGAGGAATCCATACTGTGCTTTTTTCTTTTAAAATCTCGTCCTTTACCTTGGGGAACTACCTACTCATATCTGCTCCCTGTATTCTAATGAGCTGCAAGCACAGAACCCGGATCACAGAGGAGTGCCAAGAGAGTAAAATTACAACAAATATTGTAAAAGGTCTCGGTTAGTTTTGTTGCGATTCTGGAATTGAGCGACACGTTATTCCATTAGATAGTATAAATGTTCCAATGAGCAGAGCAGAGGACGTTGGTTTTATAAACAGAAGAAGGCTAAAGAAAGCAGAAACAAAGAACAAAAAGTGGATTGGCCATTTCGAAGTTACTTTCCATTTCAAAGTTACCACCTTGTAGGATGAGGACAGGGAGACTGAACAATAGAAAAATAGCTGACTGGTTAAAATCAGATTATTTCAAGCTATCCCTTTTGTGCAAGGATTAAAGTCGGGGGAACTTCATTATAATACCTATTGCAGATTTAAAGTAGCTTGTTTGGGAAATTGGCTATCTCTTTCTACTGATTTCTTGGAGGGTGAGACCACAATTTAAATGACCTGGAATTTAGCAGGGATGACTCCATTTTGGTTTTTAATCTGGTCTATTGGGGCCTAGTGCAGGAACTTAGTCCAAAACAATGGCCTCCTATAATTTTATTTAATAGGTGTAAACAAAACACTAGTTCAATCAGACTCTCCTGGGAACTGGAATCTTGGAGGGAGACACCATATATATGAATAACTTGAAAAACAATACAAACACGATGAATGTATTAGGTATATGTTGCTGTGTTGTTACACTTCTCTCTGTCTAACGGAGACGCAAAAAAGGATTACTCAAAGCACCATGAATGCGATGAGAAGCCCAAAGGGACTGCACCTAAGCAACTCCTCTGTTAGAAGGAGGAAACTGGGTACAGCTCTGATTTAAAGTTAGCTTCTGTTTTTTATTGTAAAGACGAGGAAGTTTGGGCCGGCCTCTGGCTCACTCGGGAGGGTGTGGTGCTGATAACACCAAGGCCATGGGTTCGGATCCCATATAGGGATGGCCGGTTCGCTCACTGGCTGAGCGTGGTGCTGACAACACCAAGTCAAGGGTTAAGATCCCCTTACTGGTCATCTTTTGGAAAAAAAAAAAAAAAGATGAGGAAGTTTCACCAGAAAAACCAGTTGGTTCAATCATTACAAAAGGATACAAAGACATGGGCAGTGTTACAAATGTTAGGCAATTATGTTTTACCCTATGTCTAAGATGGCGGCAGGTGGACGGGAGGAACACCCAAAATGGCTGTGGAGAGTTTCAGGTCCCTAGAACAGCACTTTTTCTGAGAATCACAAAAAAACCCCTCCCCCTTCTTCACCACCACATCCCCTTCTCACCCGCATGAATTTCTCCACCTGTAGAAAAACCCCAACTCAGCTTAAACCCTACTCGCTTCCCTCCCCTTCCCTCTTAGCCAATAGGAACAGTCCAGCTCAGCCTGACTGGATATAAAAGGCCCAGCCCGGCTCTCACGGCTGCTGCTCCCACTTCCAAGAGGGCAGACTGCTTGTTCATTTTGCCTGCCTAAACACTTTGGTTGAGTCCCTGTCTCCTGGTGTGTTTCTTTTGCGCTCGGGCCCGGGTTTTTTTTCCTTTCAACAAAAGTTATCTATGGCTAAGTATAGTTTAAACAGTGGAAACTAGTGACATCAGTAAAATTTAAAAAGTGACATTCCAAAGTACAATTTGTGAAAAGCTAAGCTGGTCAAACTGCGATCATTATCTAAAGTATAACTTCTCCTTAAATGATATAAGTAAAAGTTGCATTCTTATGATAAAATTTAAGTATAAGTATCTCTAAAGTTTGCACCAACAGACAGCTTGCCCCTAGCAAACATCTTTTCACATCTTTCTATTCAGTGATTCTTAAAATCTCTTAACAGGATTGTATGACAACCACCTGTTAGCTCTAAAATCATTAAAGTATACAATCCCATACCTAAGCAATGATTAGAGTTGATTAGATGGGCTGTTGCCCAGTTAGCTGTAGGCGGTTGCCTCCTACTCAAGGACTTTTGCTCTATACCTGCATTTACCTAAAAACCCTATTCTAAAATCAAATGAGAATCAAGATTTCTAACCCTCTACACTTTGTAACAAACCACTCTAAAACTTACGGGCTTAAAACAGCAGTCATTTATTTACTCACAATTCTGTAAGTCAGCAATTTGGGCTGGGTTCAGCTGAGTGGTTCTTCTGATGACCTTGCTTGGAGTCATTCATGTGGATGCAGTCATCTGATGGCTGGATGGTCTAGCTAGCCTCACCCAAGTGTCTAGAGATTGGTTGTAGCTTTTGGCTGGAACATATGTCTCTATCTAGCATATGTTCTCTATCTAGAGAACATATGTCTCTATCTTCTTTTACATGGTATCTGACTTCCAAGAAAGCGTGAGTGGAGGTATAAGTCTCTTGAAGCCTAAACTCCAAAGCTGCATAATGTCATTTCTGTTGCATTCTATTGTCAAAGTAAGTCACAAGGCCAACTCTAATGTAAGAGATGGGAAAATAAACTCCACATCTTGATGGAGAAGTGGCAAAGTCACATTGCAAAGGAGTATACATATAAGGATGGGAGGAATTGTTGTGGCCATCTTTGCAAGTAGTCTAGCACAGTGATTAGGTATTGAATTAATTTCCTTTTACCTCACACAGATACGAGGTTAAGCATCTCTCATCTAAGAAAATAATTCCCAACAATTTTGCTAAATTATAAAAACTTTAGCTTCAATCTCTGGGTGAATTTACATGCTTAATGGGACAACAATAACAATGATGATAATGAGTACCACTACTTGCTAACATTTATTGAACTCACATTGTAGGCTAAGCAGATTAACTTATTGTCTCATTCAATCATCACTACTTGAGTTAAGCTTTATTGTCTCTATTTTTAAAAAATAAGTCCTCATTTCTATAGTGGTAAGCCAAAAAAGTAAAATAAGGAATTTGAGGCTCCAAGATCTATTACTTGCCCAACATCACATATTAGTTACACCACTGCTTCACTGCAGTTTTATTTTTTTTTATTTTTATTTTTTTTAGAAAAGATGACCGGTAAGGGGATCTTAACCCTTGATTTTGGTGTTGTCAGCACCACGCTCTCCCAAGTGAGCTAACCAGCCATCCCTATATAGGGATCCAAACACGTGACCTTGGTGTTATCGGCACCATACTCTCCCAAGTGAGCCACGGGCCAGCCCTTCACTGCAGTTTTACTGCAGGTAAAAGTGTAGGCTTTCAAGGGTAACATTTTTACATGGTTTGTTTATATTTTATTGATTACGAAATAAATATATCTTTAGCCCCTGGAGCAGTAGTGATCTTTTCATTTCTGGGCATCCAGATGTTGGGTTTGACTTCCCACTTGCTGAGTCTCTGCCAACCAGTTGTACTTAATATTGACTGTACTCTTCTGCACCTTTTCCACTTTTTTGTATGATAAACATATAGGATTGAGAGTCAGGAAAAATGGAGTTGGAAAAAAATGTTTTTAAATAAAATAAAAACAAAACAAAAAAACAGATTGGTATTCTGGTTGTACCACTTATTAATTTTGTGATACGAAGCAAGTTCTTTAACTAGTTAACTCTGCTGTAAATTAGGTGTAATAAGATTTTTTTTTTTTTTTTTTTTTTAAAGATGACCGGTAAGGGGATCTCAACCCTTGACTTGGTGTTCTCAGCACCACGCTCAGCCAGTGAGTGAACCGGCCATCCATATATAGGATCCGAACCTGTGGCCTTGGTGTTATCAGCACCGCACTCTCCCAAGTGAACCACAGGCCGGCCCTAGGTGTAATAAGATTTAAATTACAAAACTGAAAGAATAATATCTGCAGCATAATACCTGCAACGTAACAGGACTCACTAAATTTTGTATTTGACTCTTACTCCTGCAATGGCATTCCAGATTTCTGATTTTACTAGGATCTCATTTTTTGTAGAGAGATGTGCTTACGATTCATATTGTTTTAGTCCGTTTTGTGTTGCTATAACAGAAATACCTGAGACTGGGTAATTTATAAAGGAAAGAGGTTTATTTGGCTTATGATTCTGGGACAGCTACATCTGGCACAGGCCTCGGGCTGCTTCTACTCATGGTGGAAAGTGGCAGGAAGCCAGCGGGTACAAGCAGATCACACAGCAAGAGGAAGCAAGAGAGAGAGAGAAGGTGCCAGGGTCTTTTTAAGCAATGAGCTCTCGTGGGA